GAATGTTCTCTCCGTCTGCTTTAGGTACAAAATTGCTAAAAAAAAAACTATAGCCCACTGAGTATTTTCGTATGTCAAATTCTAATGCTGTATTTCCACTACGTATTAAATGGCAAAAATTGTAATGACAAATCTGGGCATTAAAAAATATTCGTGTCATACCGTTGAAAAATAGCCATTAAATTCATTTCCACATGGCATTTTATTGATGCCTCAAATTTTTCGTAATTTCAAGGCCTAGTGATGCCTGATCGGCTACTAGCCGTTGTGGCTTTTTTGTCATTAGCATGTAAATACAGATAGCCAGTGTCCATCGAAAATCAACAGTGCAGACTAAATTTATTCTGGGCTATCGCTGAATCCATCGTAGTCCGACTTTCGTTAAATCTACGTAAACGCCATCACTGAATCCGAATTGCTACGAACTAGGGATGTTGCGAATGTGGAATTTTAGACATCCGCGGATGCGAATGCGGATGCGGATGTTTAAAAGCTAACATCCGCGGATGCGGATGCGAATGCGGATGTCAAGTATTTTAAAGAAATAACTTGGGTGAGTAAATTAAAAAGGTGATTTAGGTACATAAAAAATTAAAAGTTGATAATTTTTAATAATGTTTTTTTTTTTATTTAGTACTTGAATTTAAAAATTGGAACATTGTATTTAATAAAAAGTAATGTTGCTGCCTTTTCGGGTTCGAGCCTGTTTCTTAAAGGGTCGTAAGGCGACAAACTTGAATAACTTAAAACTTGACAAAATTTTAAATTATTTTCGATTGACGCTGCACCAGTTGAGAAGACTTTCAGTTATATTTATTTTTTTATTGTGATAAAATAATTCCTTTTTGACAATTGCATCGAGGCTGCAAATGTCGGATGTATGCTCCTGACTTTCATCTACACAATCTTTTCCAAAAATTTCTTCATTCTCATTCTTTTGGTTGTTCAGAATTTGTAACGCCATTAACGGTTTTCGATTTTAGTTTTCGTAATTCGTTTTTAATCCTCTCCTCTGGGACTGTTTTGAAAAATTTCTGCTTATAGCGAGGTTTCAAATAGGTCGATATGGTAAATAAATTGTTATTTTCTAGGAATGAAAATTTCTGTTTTGAAAGTCGTGGCTGCCAGCCGAATTAGTTTAAAATCTTGTTATATTGTTAAAAAGGCACCAGTTTTTTATAATAATTTGAATTATTGGAATCACGGACAATGAAAGTCTCAGATCTGCTTGGTTCCCGGTTGACTTCTTAAAAAGATTCACCTGTAATGAATAGTTTGTAATTCGTTTTTTAATTAGCCGAGTTCGACTTTTCCTAGTTACAGGCAGTCACAATTAATTACTCATCGCTAGCGATTCATCCAGTTTTTTCAACAGACCTTTGGCAAATAATATTCGATAGTTACATAATTCTTACCTAATTACATGCTGTCTTTTAACGCACAAATAGTCCATTCTCTTTATAGCTAGACGTTGAACATTTCCGCTGGAAATGCCTATTTGACTTTAAATTACAAAAGAAGGGAGACGAAGGGGGACAGTTTTAACGTAGCATCTCCACAGCCAAAAAATACTGGCTACAATTTGTCATTTTGTTTGCCAGATATACATTTTATCAGTGCACTTGCACAATATTCGCATTCGCAAAAGCTCCGCTTATTGCTAATGCGAGTGTTAAAATTAATGCGGAAGCTCCGCGGTTGCGAATGCGAATGCGAACATTCGCAACAACCCTGCTACGAACGTATGCATTCAAAGTACATGAATATCAAGGAAGCCAACTCATTTTTGAAAATTCCCCGATTTCGACAATGGAATTCCCCGAAATTTCTTGAAATTTCCCACCCATGGATATCTCCTTATTTACAGAAAAAAAAAAATGTATGTATTTTGATATATTGCTTGTCTTTCTGTTTATTTTATTTTTAAAGGTAATTAATCTATGTAACAAATTAATAATCTAATAACAAATAAAAAATAAAAAAGGACATATAGTAAGGTTTTACGTGCATACTACAGTGGTCGAAAAAATTTCAGTCGACCGAAATTTTTTCCCCAATTTCTTTTTTTTTTTTGTTATTTAATTTGAGTCTATTTTTTTTGTATGTACATAGTTCATTCTTTAACATACCTCGTATAAATCCAAGCTTCGAACTTTGTGCAATATTCAAACAAACATTCAACAAACTTTCATAAAAATTTCTAGAAAGAGTTTTGAAAGTTTTGTAGCCCACACTCAATTCTATTATAAAACAAACTGCAAGGTTTAAGTGGCGAAAAATTATTGTTTTAGAAGATCTTGCGGTTTTCTTCTATATAAAAATAAATTGTGTTTAAACGTTATATAAGCGCAAATGGGACAAAAAAAATTCTAACAAATAAACGATAATTTGCATAATTTGCAGGGTTGCATAATCAGTACTTTAGTTGCAGTTGCATTTCTTATACAACTTTTTTAACACGGAAATTAGTGAAGCAAAAAAAAAATAGTTAACACCTAATTCCTCACAAAAAAAAACTGGTCCCCGATTCCCCACGCAAACTGAAATTCCCCGCGAATCGGGGAATTCCCCACGAGTTGGCTTCCCTGATGCACATATACTACGTTCGTAGCTATTTCGATTCAGGAAAAAATTTTCGTAATGTCATGAAAAACCGGACTGCGATTGATTAGGTGATAGCCCTGATTGTTTTCCGACCCTGCTCTAATAATACCGTTCCTCAAGCTTCCCAAGCTAGGCTTTAGCTTCGCCGTAAAGCCTTCCCTTTAGCCAAATTTACAGGATCGACGATTTTGGACGACATATACCTACATTTACGACTTTTTTGTGTCATATATACACACCAAAAATCCAATATATCAACAATTTCCCCCCCCCTTTATAAGCACTGATTTTTAACTTGCTGATTCTTTAACAAAGTATTTATTAGAAACTGAAATTACTAGTCTACATTATTCGCCGATCTTCCATTGTCACATTGTGG